GTGTCTGTCCGATTCTGACGTCACAATCCTGTTAATGACGACTGTTGATTCCATTCCTTGGATATTCGATTCAGGTGACTCACCATATTAAGGTGTCTCTCACGATATGACTTTTGATCACTCTACCGTGTTAAATTTTTCACTTGTTCCGCCATGATCTTTATATTATTTTTTTATATCGTAAATGGAACTCCTCTTGTTGGAACTTAGTGTGGTAATGTCACACCAAGTTCTGACCCCTCTAGTTGTCTTAATACTCTCTTCCATTTTACATACTAAGCTACACATGAAGCTACTATCCATAAGCCAATTGGCTGATGTTGGTTGTGCTATTACATTCACACGTTCTTCTTGTGTTGTCTTGGATCATATTGGGAAGAAGACTGGGGCATATGTTACAGAGTGAATGGATTTTATCATCTGGATCACCTATATTTTTCTACCTCAACTGCCTCCATAATATCCAACCCTAATATGTGGCATCAATGGTTGGAACGCATTTCTACTCCACCTCCTAGTATTGTGACCGAACCAAACATGTTATGTTCATCTATTTTCTAAGTTATCTCAATGTAATGGATGTCGTTTAGACAATCTGTCTTGCCGTAGTATCTAGTACTCATGTTTCCATAAAACCTTTTGAATTAGTACATTCTGATGGTTGGGGTGCTACTCCTTTAGCTTTTTTTTTTTTTTTTTTGAACTGAAAAACAGGGACAGGACCCTGCTCATATATTATAACAGCACTGGATATGAGATGAATACAAAATAGACACAGAAGGCTATACCCAAAAAAAACCAAAAAACAAAAAACCCAAAGTTAACATAAGCTACGGGAACAGAGAGATCATAGGGAGATAAGGAGCGGACCTAGTCGTCACCTATCAACCCCATAGCTCCCTGAGTTCCGACATAGCCCTACTACCCTAACTTCCCAACACTAAACCAGTTATATATACAACATTACTGGAGAATCAACAGGTAACTAAGGTTTCACTGAGACAAGAGTGTTTCATAGGTTCCAAAAAACAAAAGATGGAAGCAAGAAGATAATACACTTCTTAATCTCGCGGAAAGTTGTCTCCAACATCATCTTCTGCTTTCCTTCTAGCAATTTCTTCAAATTTCAACTTGATTGCAGCTTTGTGAATCCTTTTAGCCAGCCGATCTTCCTCAACACCTCTCCATAGCAGAGTGTATCTCGCTATATTAGCTGCAAGCTTATCAGGATTAGGCAGTTTATCTTTAAAAAAATAAGATAATTACGACAATTCCAAATCCACCAACAACAACAAGGTAGAAGAACTTTCCAAACTTGCATGATATCGATGGAATGCCCATGGTTTTCCTTGAGAAGAATCAGATCATCTAAATGATGATACCAGCAAGCTGGATTGCTGTTAGGGAGAAGGGCAGTCCAAACGGAGATGGCGAAGGGACATTTAATGAAAAGGTGGTCCAGATCCTCAATACATAGTGAACAGAATGGACATCGAGGGTCTCCGGACCAACCTTTAGAGACCAAATTTGCTCTGGTGTTGAGCCTATGCTTACTAACAATCCAAAAGAAGATCTTCACTTTCAGAGGAGTTGGAGATATCCAAATAAAATTGTATAGAACAGAGTTTATACCCCCAAAAGTCAATGCAGAGTATAAAGATTTAACAGAAAATTGACCGGAAGATTGCAGAGGTCACCATAAACTGTCTGGTGCAAAACTATCATTGCAGGAGAATTGTTCCAAAGAAGAATAAAGCTTGAGGGTCTCTTGCCTGTCCTCTAGAGTGATACCTCTCCTTAGAATGGCGTGCCATTTCCACTCATTGTTGAGCTTGATACCTTGGGAACGAATGACACATTTAGAGGAGAATGCACGATTATATACTATAGGGTATATACTTTTCAGTGAATTAGAACCCGACCACTTGTCTATCCAGAACCTACATGCTCGACCGTCGTCAATGTTCTGATGCGGCATAAACATGTACCAAAAAGGTTGCAAGTGCACAACCGTGTCAAGTTATAGTATTTAATATATCGATCCCACGAGGAAGGTGTTTTGTAGGAGAACATATAAAATCGGTTCTTATGTTGTGTGCGTGACAAATAAGATTGATGAGTGAATGTGATTGTGAAGAGATTGAGAGAGTAAAAGTGGTGTGTAAATAGGTGCAAAGTATAAATGAGAGTGTATTTGAGAAAGAATGAGTATGAACAATAAGGTGAGAAGGAAAAATGAATAAAATCAAGAAACAAATAAAAAAATCAAGAATAAAGAACAAAATTCTAGAATAAAAGAAAATGCAAGAAATTAAAAATGGTGGATTCAATTATAGATGTGGGTAATCTAAAATTGAACCCACTTCTTAGAAAATGGTGATTCCCTAGAGGGTTCTAGCCTAAAGGCGAATCAAACAAAATAAAAATAAACAAAAAGAAAAACTAAACCCAAGAGGGTTCTAGCCTTAAGGTGAATAGTACAAGAAATTAAAATCTAACTACAAAATAAATTGCAAAATCTAAACTATAAAATAAATTGCAAAAAAAAATCTACTCTATAAGCATGATAATAAATCTAATCTATGAGCATGAAATAACTCTAAGGCAAGAGGGTTCTAGCCTCTTGGCTATTTAACAAAAAAAATAAAATCTAACTACAAGCATAGAAATAAATCTAAACTAATAATCAATAAAAAAAGAAATGCAAACCTTCAAATAATTCTCCATCTTCATCTTCATCTTCATCTTCATCATTCAACAAAGAGAAGAAGAGAAAAATTTAAAGTGGTAAAAAAATTATTATTATTAATTACAACAAAAAGTTATAATTTTGAAAGGTCTTCTCAATTAAGAGTAGCCCTCCTCTCCGAAAGGAGTTACAAAAATTTTCACACCCTTAACCCCTCACTCTCTACCCCTATTTATAGTAATCTTCAATGAATATGAGCCATTGGATTTGTCTTGAGCCCCAAGCAACAATCTCCACCTTTGAATTTGCTTTTTATTCTTCTCTAGCCCAAATATAGGAGGTCCAATTGATTTTCATTTACAAATCCGGTCCAATAAGTTTTGGTCTCATTTATGCAGCAGCCGGCCCAAAATGAGTTCCCATTTGATTTTCAAAAAAAACCGAAATTGAAGAGCTGCAAAATTCGGTCCACTGCAGCAAATCAGGCTCATTGATTTCATATGATTTTCATTTGATGAAAATCCAAGTCCAATGTAAAATCAACCGGCCCAATTTGATTTTCAACTCCAAATCTCCATCATCCTATCAAGTCTGGCCCCTTTCTTGGATTTGAGTCCAGCAGTCCAATTCAATTCATTTTTGAAAATCAACCGGCCCATTGTTTATTTGATTTTCAATCAAAATCTCCAGCCCATTGTTCATTTGATTTTCAATCAAAATCTCCGGCCCATTGTCTCCAACAGCTTGTCCGGTCATTGAGTTGATTTTCGGCCCAATTATGTTAAAAGCCAACTCCAAAATCCAGCAGCCGGTCTCCATTTCCCTTGGTGTAATCTTTTTGCTTTGGGCCTTCAAAAAGTCAAAAAATTCACTTTGGCTTCTTGAATCATTTCTTCATTTAATCAATGGGTTTTTGTTGAGAGATGGGAAGTTGAGATTTATTCTTCATTAATCTGCAATTAAAAGATAAAAACAATTATTAGTGGTATATTTATTCATATAAAATAGATAATAAGGATATAAAATTGTAATAAAAATAAAAACAATTATTAGTGGTATATTTATTCATATAAAATAGATAATAAGGATATAAAATTGTAATAAAATATGATTATCATGTTCCATCTGACAAAGCTAAAAAAGATCTGATGAATGGAGTGTAGATCTTTAATAAGTTTGGAGGCATGGGAGGAGGGAATATGAGTAACATGATTGGCACCATCCTTAGAATATAGGGAGAAAACCACTTTACTAACAAGGGGTGCTATTCCTTTAGCTTCCATGACTTGTTATTTATGTTATGTGTATTTTATTAATAATCGTTCTTATTTCACTTTAGTGTGCCTTACATGTGCTTATTCTAAAATTTTGAAGCAGCAACAAACTATGCAAGAACTAGAGGCTATCAACCATACTCATACTTGGGATCTTGTATTACTACCCTCTAGTGTACGGTCTGTTAGTTTTAAGAGGATATACAAGATCAAAACCAAGTCTTATGGGTCTGCCGAGCTATGCAAAGCTCGTCTTGTTCCTCATAGATCTCTCAAGAATATATATGACATTTATTATAAGGAAATATTTGCACTCGTAGCGAAGATGATATCTACTCACACTCTCATTAATGTTGGTGTTGCTCAAAAGTAATTTTTATATCAGATGAACATTAAGAATTGCTTTCTTAATGGTGATCTTTTCAAAGTGGTTTATATAAATCCACCTCGCAGTGTTCATGCTCCTCCTAATCATTTTTGTAATCTTCCTCATGCTAGTTATGACTTCAAACAAGCATCTCGTGTTTTGTTGGAGCGGTTTTTAGAACATGAGGTTGCTGATTCTTCTAAGAGGTTATCTTATCCTTTCAGAAATCGGGGTTAAATTTTAACATGATAATTATTACCCTTAAAAAATTAATGGCAAAAAGCATTCCTATATTTAGGGAAAAATGGCCAGATTGATATATTTTGTAGAGGCTTGGTGATAAGTTGGTATATTTTCTTTTAGTTTTGTCAGATTGGTATATTTTCTTAACTCTGTCGCCATATAGGCCTTAAATTTAGCCGGAGTTACTGTTCTGGCCAGTGCTGATGAGATTTTTTTTTAAAAAAAACCCACATTAAATACAGTTTCCTGCTCCTACCCTCTCTTCCTCCTCCTCCTCATCCTCTTCAACCTCCCCCTCTCCCTCATCCTCCTCATCCTCTCCCTCCTCCTCCCTCCTCATCCCTCTTCCCAATCCCCTCAATCTTCTCCTCCCCCTCCCTCCTCTCCTCCTCCTCCTCCTTCGGCCCTCTCCACCTCCGCCCATTCTCTACGATGGAAGCGAGTTCATCTCGAGCAGCTCCGAGACCTTCGTCAAGGTCCTCGTCAACGTCCTCTCCTTTGTCTCTGCGTCGAATATCGCCATGAAAGACGGGTAGTTGAGATCTCCCACCCCTCCTCCAAATTTCAAACACGAGCTTGGCTCTGGCATGAACCTCTTAATTTGTGTCTCGGTGTAATTCATTATGTAGAGAAAATTGATGTAATCCTGTACTCCTAGGTCATACACCAGCCTTGGATTTTTCGCCCTCTCACGATCGACATGGCATGCACCGATTGCTAGTGCATTCGCAGGCTTTAGGTTTTCGTCGAGGAAAATTGGGCGATAGCTGCTGTCGAGTGGGAACGTTGTGGTCATCATCGCTGATCGAATCATTGTTGGCGACCAATTTGGGTGTTCTGCTTTGAGAAGCGTAGCGACACCAGCGATATGAGGATAGGACATCAAAGTATTGGAGATTATGTTGAGGCCTGCACGTCTCAAATCTTTCAAGCTTCTAGTTAGAGGAGTTTCAGTAGGCCAAGAAGCAAGGATGTTCATGCCTGGAGCAAGAATATCAGGTTTGAGAATCTCTGGCTGGATAAAGTTAGGACCTCTCGATGAGAAGCAAGCGACTGTTGGAGCTCGGGTTTCTCTGATAACAGTTTGGTAATCGAATTGAAGTGAAGCTCTTGGATTTGAGGTTGAGTTTATGTATTTGATCAACTTTTGTGCTTCAAAGTAGCCTAATGTCAAACCTGGGAATGTGAATGCTTTAACGATAACTCCTTCGCCGCTATAATTGCCATTGAGTCTGATCAGACTGACACCTCTGGATTTAGCCACTTTCATACCGAGCTCAACAAATGCATTTTCACATACGAGGATCTTTTCCTTGACGAGTTGTGTTATTTCTGTATCAGACATCAAACATTGCGGCACATAAACAAGAGGAGAAAATCCTGTAAAGTTTGGTGATTGCTGATATAAAGATTGTCCAACGTAGACTTCACCGTTCCCTAGCGTGAAACGCGCAGGGAACTTGCGATCGATTGATCCAGTGCCGACCGTCGTGATCCACGGAGCAATGTTAACGAGAGATCCTTCATCTGGCCAGCTATTGCCTGCAGAAAATGCGACAAATATGCCATTACGAACAGCAGCAAACGTGGCGATAGCGACAACATCAACATCGAATTCTTCAGGTCCTCCACCAAGAGATAGAGAGAGGATATGAACACCATCCTTGACTGCAGCGTCGATGGCAGCAACTATGTCAGAGACCGGTCATCCATAGAATCCCCAGCAAGCTTTGTACATAACCAACCTGGCTCGAGTTGCCATTCCTCGAGCAGTTCCATTTGCAAAACCAAACAGATTAGCATTAGCTGTAGGCGTTAAAAAATGCTAATAGATATCCCAAACATAGAGAGGATCACTCAAAAAATGACAAGAGTTGATCTCATACTGTTTTGAAAAATCAAGACAGATATGAACTGTCTCGCCAGCGAGACAGTCTTTACTGTCTCGCAAGCGAGACAGTCTTTACTGTCTAAACATTGCGGCACATAAACAAGAGGAGCAAATCCTGTAAAGTTTGGTGATTGCTGATATAAAGATTGTCTAATGTAGACTTCACCGTTCCCTAGCGTGAAACGCATAGGGAACTTGCGATCGATTGATCCAGCGTCGGCCGTCGTGATCCACAGAGCAATGTTAACGAGAGATCCTTCATCTGGCCAGCTATTGCCTACAGAAAATGCGACAAATATGCCATTGCGAACAGCAACAAACATGGCGATAGCGGCAACATCAACATCGAATTCTTCAGGTCCTCCACCAAGAGACAGAGAGAGGATATGAACACCATCCTTGACTGTCTCGCAGCGAGACAGTCTTTACTGTCTCGCAGCGAGATAGTCTTTTACTGTCTCGTAGCGAGATAGTGTTTTACTGTCTCGCCAGCGAGATAGTGTTTACTGTCTCGCCAGCGAGACAGTATTGAAATGGTCAAAAACCACCTTGATAACTGCTGTACACGTGTCCATTAACTGTCAAAGAACATGGGGAACGTCGTGGGCGAGAATCACATGGATAACTATCAAAATAACGGAGTTTGAAATGTGGGAAGGCAGTTATGGTGGAAACTGCTGGGCAGTTGGGTTTTCCAAGATAGTGTTTACTGTCTCGGAACCCGAGACAGTAAACTCTGTCTCGGCCGCCGAGACAGCAAACACTGTCTCGGTAGTCAAGACAACAAATGCTGTCTTGCGAGCTCATTTTCCTCTAACTGTTCATAGGGAAAGGGCTGGTCATTTTTTAGCACTTTGGAGCAGAGAGAGCAGAGTTCCTGAGCTTCCGGCAATTCCTTAAGATTCGAGCTTTGACTTGATCTTAAGAAGAACGACTATCTTACTTTGATAAGATATCGTTTTAAATTATCACTTCGATAAACGAAGGAAGAATCATTAAATCCCTCACGATTCAATCAGAATCTGTGATTTGGTGGTCCTCCTCCGTCCTCGCTGCCGTCAACTCCTTCCTCGACTCCTCCTCCTTCCTCCCCTCCTCCTCCTGCTCTGCCCTCGCGGTCGATGTCCTATGCTCCTTCTCTCCCGCCACCGACCCCATTGCTAGCAACCACCTTTGCGCCCTCCGTTCCCGCTCCGATCTCTTCGCTGCCAGGCTCTTATTCCCCTCCGGTGACAACTCCAGCTTCATCAGCTTCCTCCGATTGTCTTTCGACGGCCCTCGATGTCAAGGTTTCAAGCACATGTGCCATCGGATAACGAAGATATCGGTGATCCCCGCTTCAGAGTAGGACATCATCATGGACACTACAGGCGAGATTGTGGCAGTTGATGGGTTCTTGATTGCTACTACACTGTACTCTGTGAATTGGTTTATGGTTTAGTCTAGGGTTTTGGCTTGGTGGTGGTTTGTTGCGAATGGAGGAGGAGGGAGGAAGAGGAGGAGGGGGAGGTTGAAGAGGATAAGGAGGAGGAGGAGGGAGAGGATGAGAAGGATGAGGGAGAGGGGGAGTTTGAAGAGGATGAGGAGGAGGAGGGAGAGGGGGTAGGAGCAGGAAACTGTATTTGATGAGGGTTTTTTTACAAAAAATCCCATCAGCACTGGCCGGAACAGTAACTCCAGCCAAATTTAAGGTCTATATGGCGCCGGAGTTGAGAAAATATACCAATCTGACAAAACTAAAAGAAAATCGCCGCGCTCGCCAAATAGCTAAGGCCTTGGAACAAACCGACGGGGTTTGTTATCACGCGGACCTAAAGTTGAGGAAGCATCGAGTGGTTCAGTTGTCTCAACAACCAACCACTCATATCTCTGCACAACTCACAACAGATGAATGGACTTTTGTCAAAAGGGCTCGCTCGACCCTCAAAGAACACATACAAAAGCGTCGTACAAACGCTGCTCATGCCTGTGCTCGTTTACAACAAAGACGAGAAGGAAACAAGGAAACGGTGGCCAAAGAATCACTAAAACTCTGCAAAGTTTGGATTTCAAAGTCTGGAGTTGTGCAAAATCAGCATTCGGAGCCCGTTAAGACTCCACACCCGCAAGGGGGTGGTTTATGGCGCCGGAGTTGAGAAAATATACCAATCTGACAAAACTAAAAGAAAATATACCAACTTGTCACCAAACCTCTACAAAATATACCAATCTGGCCATTTTGCCTATATCCTACAAACAACCAAGTAAAGACGCAGAAAATATTTATGTACTATATGTATTCATCCGATTAAATTTTCCATTAAAAAAATTATTCGTCCTATTGAAGGTTAGGGAATCACGATCTTAGAGCATCTCCAACAGCTTCCCCATTTTATTGAAATTCTCACTTTTGGAGAATTTTGGGCTTTTTTTGGTCCAACAGATTTACCATCCCATTCCCCAAAATATGGATAGAGGAAAAAAAATAGGGAGCCTTCCCCAAATCTGCAGCATTCTGCAAAAATTTGGGGAAAGCTTGCCAAAAGACATCGTTATACCTGGGAGGTCATACCAACAGACGATAGGATTTTCCGGCAATCATACCGATGAATCGTACTATCAAGCTGTGGGTTTGAATAGATTTCGAAAGAGAATTATTCGAGAGATAAGCTCTCATTGTTTTTGTGCACGACTCATTAGAGCAGTATTGTCGGAATATAATTACGCAAAACGAGAAGCCATCCCACGAAGAATCCAAAATACAATACTTTCAGCAGTAGTATTTATACATAATCAAGGCAAAAACCCCAAAATACCCCCTTCCCCATATCAGCGTCTCTCTCCTCAAAATCCCTATTTCACCTCAGCCCTAAATTGAAAAAGAGAACTCCAGCTATCGTCGTCGGTATTCCACAGTCTTTTCACCAAAATGTCGAAGCCTAAGCCGAGACATTTTCACAAAAGAAGATCAGTTGTCCAAGATGACGAATTCCCTGAAGTCACCATTAACATGGCTGATAAAGGAAAATCTAAATGGCATTCAAGTGAATCAAATCCCGACTTTTCCCTGAGAGGAAAAGTCAATTCAAGAATTGCCAAACGGATGTCCCGACTCCAGTTAGGAGCCATCAGACATAGGGACTACAAGAGAATGCATGAAGGAATGTCATCAGAGGATGAGCTTTCGGACACTTGTTCTGCGATCGCTTCAGATGGTACGGTATCTAGCACAGGACAAACCAGAGAAGTCCTCACGATCACCTCTGATCAATTTGCTCAAATGCTTCAAGAAGCTCTAACGAAGTAACGTGAAGAAATTAGAGCTGAGATGAAGACAGAGATGGAGTTAGCTATCCAACAAATGAGAGAATTGCTAACTCAACGGCCTCAACCTCCTGAGTCCAGTCAGCGAGCTGAATCCAGCCGTCACACTCAGAATGTGGCAGATGATAGTGATCCAGAAGTGGATGAAGTCATTATGGCTGATACACCACCCAACAGCAATAACGCTGGGGGTGGTTTAACGCACCCTCCCAATAACGATATTGGGGGTGGTTCAATGACACCTCTTACAGGGGGTGGCCTAACTCATTCTCCTCAATGTCCTTCAAATGAAGACATAGATGATGACGAGAAAATGAAAGAGCTTGAAAATAAAGTCAATGCTTTGATGATGGCTCAAGAAGTGAAAAAGACGGGTATTCCATATCCCTACCCAAGAGAATGGGATTCAATACCGTACCCGGTAAAATTCAATCTGATTAACTTCACACCGTTTGACGGGAAAAGCTCGCCTACTCAGCACTTGATTTATTTCAAGTCTTATTTGGGCATAATTTTTGGAAACGAGGCTTTAATGGTCCAGTCATTCGTTGGCACCCTTCGTGGGCCCGCCTTCGATTGGTACCGAAACGAGGCTTTAATGGTCCAGTCATTCGTTGGCACCCTTCGTGGGCCCGCCTTCGATTGGTACCGACGCCTCAAGCCAGGAAGCATCAATTGTTGGGATGACATGGAAAGTTTGTTTCTCAACAATTTCTTCGATGATGACACCGAAGTATCGATCGGAACCCTTCTAGATGAGAAGCAAAAAGACGGAGAGTCAGTTGATAATTTTGTCAAGCGCTTCCGTAACAAAGCAATGAATTGCAGAGATCCTGTTACAGAGGAGTTCATCCTGTAAACATGCCATAATAATCTCTCCATCGATGTCTTGGAAGCTTTGGGGGTCGTACCATCCAAAACTTGGAAAGAGTTAAAACTACGTGGCGAACAAGCTGAACACTTTCTTAAAAGAAAGAAAGTTGAGAGAGGTCAACCGACGACATCCGCAATTCCTGTGAACGCGACTCTCGATCCGAGGTTCCAAAAGGAGTATTCTTTCAAAGATGATGAAACTCCAGCCATCTTGAAATACCTCCTCGCCAACGACAAGATCGAGCTACCACCTATTAAAGATCAGGAGGGAGCTAAAAGGATTACGGATCCAAATTACTGTGCATACCACAGAAGGGTTCTTCATCCCACTAAGGTTTGTTTTGGACTCAAAAACAAAATCCAAGCCTTAATCGACTCCGGTGTCATAACGGCAAAACAAGCCAAATAAAAATGACCCCATACTCCATCGGATACAAGAGTATAAACTGTTTTCCCTCACTCCAAAGAGTATATGAGTATAAACTGCTCCTCGATACTCCAATAGGTATATGAGTCTAAACTATTTCCCACTCTTGACGGGAAGTTCCTGGAGAATTTTTACACATAATATTCTTAAGGATAACCCGGTCATGTATCTCAGTATAATGTTAGACCCAATTTCGCGAAGGAAGCTGGGGGTGGATAGTTCAAATAACGGGAAGTTCTCAAAAGAATGTTATATGTAATTTTCTTAGGGATAACCCGATCACTACAAACAAAGTGATAAACACTACATCCCCACGGTGATTTCAGAATACTCTTTTGCTGAGATGAGATTCGATCACTTCTTTAGATCAATCTTCCCTCACAAAACTCACATCTGGTCAAACTTTGCTGAGATGAGATTCGATCACTTCTTTAGATCAATCTTCCCTCACAAAACTCACATCTGGTCAAACATTTAAACAGTTAGGACCAAAGTCAAAATCCCCTCTCGATTCTTTCAATGAACGAGAGGCCCACAAATCGAGCGATCAAACCTTTAAACAGTTAGGATCGTTTCGAATTCCCTTATTTGGTCAGACCTTTAAACAGTTAGGACCAAAGCCAAAATCCTCTCTCGATTCTTTCCATGAACGAGAGGTCCACTCAAATTGAACGATCAAACCCTTAAACAGTTAGGATCGTCTCAAACCCTTATTTGGTCAAACCTTTAAACAATTAGGACCAAAACCAAAATCCCCTCTCGATTCCTTCCATGAACGAGAGATCTACTCAAATAAATTGAACGATCAAACCTTTAAATAGTTAGGATCGTCTCAAATTCCTATTTGGTCAAACCTTTAAACAGTTAGGACTAAAGCCAAAATCCCCTCTCGATTCCTTCCATGAACGAGAGGTTCACTCAAATTGAACGGTCAAACCTTTAAACAGTTAGGATCGTCTCAAACCCTTGTTTGGTCAGACCTTTAAACAGTTAGGACCAAAGCCAAAATCCTCTCTCGATTCCTTCCATGAACGAGAGGTCCACTCAAATTGAACGATCAAACCCTTAAACAGTTAGGATCGTCTCAAACCCTTATTTGGTCAAACCTTTAAACAATTAGGACCAAAACCAAAATCCCCTCTCGATTCCTTCCATGAACGAGAGATCTACTCAAATTGAACGATCAAACCTTTAAATAGTTAGGATCGTCTCAAATTCCTATTTGGTCAAACCTTTAAACAGTTAGGACCAAAACCAAAATCCCCTCTCGATTCCTTCCATGAACGAGAGATTCACTCAAATTGAACGATCAAACCTTTAAACTGTTAGGATCGTCTCAAATTCCTATTTGGTCAAACCTTTAAACAGTTAGGACCAAAGCCAAATTCCCCTCTCGATTCGTTCCATGAGAGAGGTTCACTCAAATTGAACGGTCAAACCTTTAAACAGTTAGGATCGTCTCAAACCCCCATTTGGTCAAACCTTTAAACAGTTAGGACCAAAGCTAAAATCCCCTCTCGATTCCTTCTATGAACGAGAGGTCCACAAAGTGAACGATCAAACCTTTAAACAGTTAAGATCTCCTCAAAACTCCCACTTGGTCAAACCTTACTACAGTTAGGACCACAACCAACATCTCTTCTCGATTCATTCCACGAACGAGAAGTCCACTTTTGAATTGAATAATCAAACCTTATGACAGTCAGGATTATTCAAACCAGTCCAGATTCTCTAAGTGAAGATCCCACTTTGAGTTTCTCCTCTCCGATTTCGGGTTCATCTCTACCAACAAACAAGAGACTAGGAGATAGAATATAAAATTATTCCTCTCCGATTTTAGGTTTATCTCTACCAACAAACAAGAGATCAGGAGATAGAATATAAAATTCTTCCTCTCCGATTTCGGGTTTATCTCTACCAACAAACAAGAGACCAGGAGATAGAATATAAAATTCTTCCTCTCCATCATTAGGTTCATCTCTACCAACAAAAAAAGGGACCGTATTACTCCAATAGGTATACGAGTCTAAACTATTTCCCTAATCTTAACAGGAAGTTTCTGGAGAATATCACTCAGAATATTCTTAAGAATAACATGAATACTCCAATAGGTACACGAGTTTAAACTGTTTCCCTACCCCCAACGGGAAGTTTCTGGAGAATATCACTTAGAATATTCTTAAGAATAACCTAAATAGCTCTCAACGAGTATATGAGTATCAATTTGGTAACAAAAATCAAAGAGATACCAGCTTCGATTCAAGATCTCGATAATGGTCGAGCGATAAACGCATACCGAAATAGTATTAGCTATTCTACAAAGAACTGAATAGGCTAAAGGATGAAGAGATCAAGAGCCGAAGCCATTTTATGGATTTTTCTACACGATCTACTCAACCAAGCATTGAAGGGATCGTAAGTAAATCTATCTTATCCAAAGTATCCCAGACTCCTCTATAAAAGAATGAGTCTGGAATACTTTGGAGGGGGTATCTGTAGGCGTTAAAAAATACTAATAGATATCCCAAACATAGAGAGGATCACCCAAAAAATTACAAGAGTTGATCTCATATTGTTTTGAAAAATCAAGACAGACATGAACTATCTTGCCAGCGAGACAGTCTTTAATGTCTCGCAAGCGAGACAGTCTTTACTGTCTCGCAGCGAGATAGTCTTTTACTGTCTCGCCAGCGAGATAGTGTTTTACTGTCTCGCCAGCGAGACAGTGTTGAAATGGTCAAAAACCACCTTGATAACTGCCGTACACGTGTCCATTAACTGTCAAAGAACATGGGGAACGTCGTGGGCGAGAATCACATGGATAACTGTCAAAATAGCGGAGTTTGAAACGTGGGAAGGCAGTTATGGTGGAAACTGCTGGGCAGTTGGGTTTTCCAAGGCAAGCAGCGATCCAAACAACGATCCTGCGTTTGTTTCTAAAAAGTTATAATTTTTATTTTGTTGTGTAAAAGAAGTCTTATAAAAAGGCAATTTCTTTTGAATTTGTTGTAATCGACCGAAGATATAATGAATTCCACAACGAGACCAACTTTTGACGAAAACAAGCTACTGCAAAACCTGCAGTGGTCGAAGCGGTATGTGTGCCGTGGCCGACTTTATCTCTCCTCCCCTCCCTCCAAATCCCTCCGCCTCTCTCCTCCTCCTCCGTCCTCGCTGCCGTCAACTCCTTCCTTGACTCCTCCTCCTTCCTCCCCTCCTCCTCCTGCTCCGCCCTCGCGGTCGATGTCCTCTGCTCCTTCTCTCCCGCCACCGACCCCATTGCCAGCAACCACCTTTGCGCCCTCCGTTCCCGCTCCGATCTCTTCGCTGCCAGGCTCTTCTTCCCCTCCGGTGACAACTCCAGCTTCATCAGCTTCCTCCGATTGTCTTTCGACGGCCCTCGATGTCAAGGTTTCAAGCACATGTGCCATCGGATAACGAAGATATCGGTGATCCCCGCTTCAGAGTAGGACATCATCATGGACACTACAGGCGAGATTGTGGCAGTTGATGGGTTCTTGATTGCTACTACACTGTACTCTGTGAATTGGTTTATGGTTTAGTCTAGGGTTTTGGCTTGGTGGTGGTTTGTTGCGAATGGAGGAGGAGGGAGGAAGAGGAGGAGGGGGAGGTTGAAGAGGATGAGGAGGAGGAGGAGGAGGAGGGGGAGGATGAGAAGGATGAGGGAGAGGGGGAGTTTGAAGAGGATGAGGAGGAGGAGGGAGAGGGGGTAAGAGCAGGAAACTGTATTTGATAAGGGTTTTTTTGCAAAAAATCCCATCAGCACTGGCCGGAACAGTAACTCCGGCCAAATTTAAGGTCTATATGACGCCGGAGTTGAGAAAATATACCAATCTGACAAAACTAAAAGAAAATATACCAACTTGTCACCAAGCCTCTACAAAATATACCAATCTGGTCATTTTGCCCTATATTTAGTATAAACTTCTAATAAGAATAAAACTTAATCTTAGATGGATCTCTCCACGCTCAATCGAAAAATATTCAAAAAATAACACAAAAATAACCTCATAGTTCATAACAGACAAATAACTCTAAAATTTCAAACCTCATAAACAGTCCCCTAAAATTTTTGTGATTTGCAAAAACACTTTGAAACTTTTAAAAATTACAAAAAGGACTTGAAAATTCAAAATTTATAAAAAAAAACCTAAAATATTCAAAACGAATGCAGTATGCAGAAAATCTAAGAATTACAAATAGCTCCCTAACAATTATTCAAATTTCAAAAAAAACACTCAAACTTTTAAAAGTTGAAAAAACCACCCCCAAAATTTTAAAAATTGCAAAATAATCTTCAAACCTACATATAGAAAATAGAAAACAAGGACTACAGACAGCCCCTTAAAAATTTTAGAATTCGCAAAAAACATTCTAAAACTTTTAAAAATTGGAAAAAAACACCTTCTAAGTTTGAAATTTATAAAAAACTATAAGAATTTTAAACCTACAACCAGAATCTTGAAAATCTAGGAATTACAAGCAGCCTCCTAAAAAATTTTGAATTCGTAAAAGACATCTTGCTTAAAAATCGCTAACATCCTAAAAGACATCCTAAAAGCTTAAAAATCGCTAACTTCCTCAAAAATTGAAATAAAAAGGAAAAACCTCTCTATAATTTTTTACCTTTTCAGGTTGCTTAAAAATCGCTAACATCCTAAAAGACATCCTAAAAGCTTAAAAATCGCCAACTTCCTCAAAAATTGAAATAAAAAGGAAAAATCTCTCTATAATTTTTTACCTTTTCAGGTTGCTTCTTGTAAAAGACAAATTTTATTAGTGTGTTTTATGCAATTTTTGAATGTTTTAGGGTATTTTTTACAAATTTCAAAATTTTCAAGGGCTGTATGTAATCCTAGATTTTCAATTTACTGTTTGTAGGTTAAAAAGTTTCAAGGAATTTCTAGAAAATTTTAAATTTTGGGTTATTTTTTGTAACTTTTGAAAGATTTAGGTTGTTTTTACCAATCAAAAATGTACTTGGGGCTATGTGTAGTACTTTTTAGTATACTGTTCTTCTTTTGATGTTTTCAGGCTCTTTTTTCAAATTTTGAATTTTTAGTGATTTTTTTTGTAAGATTTAAAAGTTTTAGGGTCTTTATACAAATACCAAAATTTCTAGGGGGCTATTTGTAATTCCAAGATTTTCAATGTAGTTTTTGTAGATTTGAAATATTCAGACTTTTTGTAAGTTTTAAATTTTTTGAGGGTGTTTATTGCAACTTTGAAAATTTTGGGTGTATTTTACAAATTTTAAATTTTTAAGTGGCTGTTTGCAATTCATAGATTTTCAATGTTCTGTTTTAGGTTTCAAATTTTCAACCGTTTTCTACAAGTTGTACATTTTTGAGGGTATTTCCTACCAAATTTTAAGGCTTTTAGGGTGTTTATTGCAAATTTATAACTTTTCAAGAGGCTATTTGTAAGTCTTTGATTTTCAGTTTATCGTTTTATATTTGAAATTATCATTTTTTTACATTTATAAATTTTTATGCAGTTTTTTGCAAGTTTTTAAAGTTGTAGGGTGTTTTCTATCAATTTTAAAACTTTTTGGGCTGTTGGTATTTCCCTGATTTTTATTATGACCTTTTAGATTTGAGTTTTTCAGCTTGTTTTTTCTAATTTGATTTTTAGGGTGTTTTTTATAATTTTAAAAATTTTAGGGTATTTTCTATAAATTTAAAATTTTTTAGAGGACTTCGTTTAAGGTATGAAATTTTCAGTGTTAATTGTATGTTTGAACTTTTAGGAATGTATTACGTTTTTTGAAAATTTTGAGGGTTTGTTTGTATTTTTGGAATTGTTGGGGGTTTCTAATTTTCTATTTTATAGAGGGATATTTGTAATTTTTTTTGGGGGGCTTTGTGGTGAGTTTTGAAATTTTTTCGGAACTATGTATAATTACACATGGTTAAATGATTCAAGGCTAAACGCCCTCATTTTTTATCCTACCTCTTCACTTAGGCCCCGTTTGGATAATGAAAGTATTAGAAGTAAGAAATATTTTATAGAAATAACTTTCAAAACTATAAAGTAGGAAGTAGTGGACATAGCATTTTTTTTGTTTGTTTCGTATATTTTTAGAAGTAATGGAAGTAGAACTTATTCTTCTTCATTTACTTTTTTTGTTTGTATAACATTTGGAAATATTACTAGGAAGTAATTTTATTAATGAAAATCTGTTAGAAGTAACCGATAAAGTAAATATTAATAAAAAAAGTTATTTATTTCCTAATTAATATGCATTTCAACTATTTCCGAGCTACTTCTGAGTATTAAGGATTGGAAAACTATTTTGGAAGTAAGGATGACACGTAAGCGTCACATAAGCATTTAAGAAAGTAATAGAAGTAAGTTTTTCAAAGAACCAAACATATTTTTTTGCTTGGAAATAACAGAAGTAGCTTTTACTTCGTTTACTTCAGCTACTTCATAATTACTTTCGTGCAAACAAACGGGCCCTTAGTTATAGCTTATCACGATATATAGGTAAACTTTTAACCTGGTGAAATTTTAACATGATAACAAATATGTAGGGTTGTCCATCCGGGTAGGCCCGGGCCGAGCAAAATCGGAGCTCGGGCCCAGGCCTGAGCGGGCCGGGCTCCGTGCCGGCCCGGTTTTTTTATTTTTTATTTTTATTAAAAAAACTTTTAATCTCTTTAAATTTTCAATTATACATAAAAAACTTACACAAAATTTTAATAAAAACAATAATATTATTAATCACTTGAAATTACATGAATTACAAATACAAAAAATTATTAAAATGAAAGACGATAAAAATGACTTCTTTATTAATAAATTAATAAATCATTTATAAGTATAAATTTATTTCGTATTTCGTCACATCACAATATATGAGTACATCCCAACTAGGTTGGCACCTACTCACCTATATCACTATCATTTGTAACTGTTTCTAAAATAATTCATTACAAATTTTCAGCAAAGAAATAAAAATTATAATTTGATAAATATTGTTTAATCTTTATATCTATCTGCTAGTCTCAACTCTTTAAATTTATCTTCAATCTCAGCCAACCGATCGATTCCTTGCGTTCTCTTCCGTACCTCCACCAATCTTGTAAGTACATCACCTCCTGTACAGTATACGGATCTAACGATGTCCTGTGATCGTCGATCAAACGTCTTGTTATGCTGAAAACGGATTCCGAAGCTACCGTCAAAACCTGCATTGTTAGTAAGTCACGAACCATGGTAGAAAGTATAGGATATGAAACTGATCCATATACTCTCCACCAATACAAAATATCTAAATTATTATTTTAACATTTAACTAAAAAAACAGATAAATATTCATCTATTTCAGAAACCTCCAATGATGATCCAAGTCCAGATCCACCAGTTAGCTCAGCTACTATTGCATACCTATCAAAACTTACACTTTTAGCTCGACTTGAGCTCGAAGAAGTCGAAGCTGTAGACTGCTATGCAGCTACACCATGTTTAGCTACATACTCATCATATAAGTTTTGAAAATAATTTCTAATAGTATTATGATGAGAATAACAGTAAGGGTGGATCCATCATCTAAGTCTATAACTTGATTACCATACAGTGAATTTAACAAACTTCGAACGCCAATATCCTTCAAACACTGATCAATAAGAACCCTCAAACCAAAAATTGTAGGAATATGCCTAAAATACTTATTAAAATTATTTTCCATTTGAAAATTTTATATCTCCAAAAGTTTCATCCATATGATATTTACCAAAAAAATTTTGAATAATTAAAATTTGTAAAGCAGCTAAAGTAATGGTTGGATAATAACAGCCAGATAATAATATTGTAACATCATAAAAAAACTTATAACATCTCTTTTAAATTACTTATAATTATCCATTCATCTTCAGTTATTCTATAGGTGCTACAAGAGCTAGAACTAGAATAATAATAAGCAATAAAATCATTTATAATTTTTTTATATTCTATTGCTACACTTAACATTGCATAGGTGGAATTCCACCTACGGTCAACATCTTTTAGAATTAGTTTGGGCTTTACATTTTTTTTCTTTTAAAGAATTGTTTCCATCTTTTAATTCTTTGTTCAGAAGCATTATGCATATAAGTTACCGTCTTAACCTTTTCTATCATGGATTTAATTTCAGTAAATACACTTTGAACAATTAAATTTAAAATATGACAGATACATCTAATATAAAAAAAATCACCATGACATGGCAATGACAGATATGTTTTGATAAAATCAACAACTATATTATAATTACTTGTATTATCTAGTGAAAGAGAAAATATTCTTTCTAAAATTTCTAGTTTCATAAGTTCTTCAAATATTAAATTTACAACATTAATACCAGTATGTGACTCTTCAATTACAATAAAGGAACCAACTCTTTTAAACATTTGCTAATTTTCATCAACCAATGTGCTATGATACATAAATAACCTATTTGTGCTCTAGATGTTCAAATATCAGAAGTTAAAGAAAATTTATAATTTAAACTTTGAAAATAAGAAATTATTTTTACATGTTCATCTTGATAATGTTTTAAAATATCATGTTGACAAGTTTGACGAGAAATTTTTTTAAATGCGGGGTATGATAATCATATTTTATTATAATTTTATACCCTCATTATCTATTTTATATGAATAAATATACCACTAATAATTATTTTTATCTTTTAATTGCAGGTTAATGAAGAATAAATCTCAAACTCTCATCTCTCAACAAAAACCCATTGATTAAATGAAGAAATGAAGCAAAGAAGCCCATTGTAAAATCAATTTCCAAATTATTCAAAAGCCCAGAATCAAGTCGTGTAGCATGTAGAAGCCGGAGAAAATCAAAAATCCAATATGAAAAGAAATCATATTCAAAATGGTTGGCCACAAAGAAATGACGATATCTCCTAATCCGGAAGGCGGAATTTAACATATAATATATGAAAATCGCATATCTCGACGAGACAAAGCTATCCGTGAAATCAGAATTTGGAAATAGTGGGTATCGATATCGGCATCGATGTGGGCATCGATGCTGGCATCGATACCTACATCGATGCTTGCATCGATGCCGGATTACTGTAGCGCGCGTCAATGGCTGATTTTGCTTGTCTTGGGGCTCAAGTTTGATCCAATGGCTCTCATTCACTGATGTTTACTATAAATAGGGGTAAAGAGTAAGGGTTAGAGGTGTGAAAATTTTTGTAACTCCTTTTGGAGAGGAGGGCTACTCTTAATTGAGAAGGTCTTCCAAATTTATAACTTTTTGTTACAATTAATAATAATAATTTTTTTCACCACATTAAATATTTTTTCTCTTTGTTGGATGATGAAGATGGAGATGAAGAATTATTTAGAGGTTTGCATTTCTTTCTTTTTTCTCTTTTATTTCTCTTTTATTGCTTATTAGTTAGATTTATTTTCATGCTTATAGTTAGATTTTATTTTCTTGTTAAATAGCCAAGAGGCTAGAACCCTCTTGCCTTAGATTTATTTCATGCTTATAGATTAGATTTATTTCATGCTTATAGAGTAGATTTATTTTCTTTTAATTCTTGCAATTTATTTTATAGTTTAGATTTTGTAATTTATTTTGTAGTTAGATTTTAATTTTTTGTACTATTCACCTTGAGGCTAGAACCCTCTTGGGTTTAGTTTTTCTTTTTGTTTATTTTTATTTTGTTTGATTCGCCTTTAGGCTAGAACCCTCTAGGGAATCACCCTTTTTCTAAGAAGTGGGTTCAATTTTAGATTACCCATATCTATAATTGAATCCACCATCTTTAATTTCTTGTATTTTTCTTTTATTCTTGAATTTTATTCTTTATTCTTGATTTTTCATTTGTTTCTTGATTTTATTTATTTTTTCCTTCTCACCTTATTGATCATACTCATTCTTTTTCAAATCCACTCTCACTTACACTTTGCACCTACTTACACACCATTTTTACTCTCTCAATCTCTTCACAATCACATTCACTCTTCAATCTTATTTGTCACGCACACAACATAAGAATCGATTTTACATTTTCTCCTACAAAACACCTTCCTCGTGGGATCGATATCTTTATACTATAACTTGACACGGTTGTACACTTGCAACCTTTTTGGTATATGTTTATGCCGCATTAAGTTTCCAATGTGCTGCGATACATAAATAACCTATTTGTGCTCTAGATGTCCAAATATCAGAAGTTAAAGAAAATTTATAATTTAAACTTTGAAAATAAGAAATTATTTTTACATGTTCATCCTGATAATGTTTTAAAATATCATGTTGACAAGTTTGACGAGAAATTTTTTTAAACGCGGGGTAAAAACTATCTCTAAGTAAATCTTCAAATTCATCATCTTCTACTAATTTAAAAGGAAGATTTTTAAGAATGATAAATCTGATGACGCGTTTCCTAACACGGGCTGCGTCATAATTCCAACTACCGAGACTACCAGAAGATGAGGATTAAGAGATCATAGATTGTTGGATATCACCTTGCGGCGTCTGGCCTTTGTTGTATTTATCTAAATGGCATTTGAGGTGATTGGTGCCGCTCTTATGATGAGCTTAGAAAATCTTACTGCACAATGCACACTTAGCCTTCTGGATGAGTATCCTACCGTGTTCATCCTTGGTGATGTCTATCTTATCAAAAAAATTCCACACATCGGATCTCGGCCTTTTAGGAGCTCTATGTGTAGAATCGTCGCCACCGGATCCGAGATTAACATCGCTAGGATCGGTAGGAGTAGCTATAGTAGGAGGGCTCCTTTCAAGTTTGGGAGTTAGGTTTTGCTCTTCATAATTAAATCCGGAAGTCATTTGATTGAAGAATTAGAGAGCTAAAGCGATTATTAAAGAGTATAATAGAGTATAAGAGAGTGTTAGAGAGTATTAGAGAGAAGTATATGAGTTTTGGTGTGATGGAAAACAAACTGACCCCCCCCCCCGTTAATATTATAGAGGCAGCCATCTACTCTATTATAGAGACAGCCCTCTCTAGACAAATAACAAATACCTGTTATTGTTTTACCTTTTTATACGTTTTTTCCCGGGACAAAAGTCGCGTCAAACGCGCTAAACATAACTCCATTATTGATGCGGCGCGCCACAACGGTCACATTTGTCGACTGCTTTTGCACAAAAACGCGTCACAAATGTGATTGTCTAAGTCGCAGTACCGGCTGCGTGGACCTGTCCGGCTTTTACCCGCCACGGTCACCTGTCGCGGCCGGGCCGGGCACCCTGGATATTTTGGCCCGCGAACAAACAGGCGCGACAAGACGCTCGTATCCGCGACCGGAACCCGGTCTGGCCCCGCGGTTTTCGCGGACGGCGCGAGCCGGCGGGCTAAATGGATAGCCCTACAAATATGATTAAATTTAAAAGAGAGTTTATCAGGATAAAGTTCAACACATTTTACCGTTATACCAAACAAGCCCTAAGGGCGACCACCCTGCACCCCCGGCCCAACCCCACCCAAAAACAAAAACAAGAAACCCCTGAACTTTGGGAGTTTCCCACGAAATCCTCTGAAACTTTCAAATTTTCTGAACAGACCCTACTAATGGTGTTAGTTGTGTCGTTTGTCATTGTTTTGGTTGCTCAGGAAATAAGTAATGCGTGTTGGTCCAGATCAAAAGAACGGAGAGGACAAGCATTAAAGTAGAATGGATTCTTAGGGGAGAAAAAGGTTTCAACTAACCTATCTATCACTAGCACATTTCGGATTAACGAACGCTGTAATAATGTATTTGCATTGCGTGCACATCAATTTTGTTGATTGCTAGAAAGGAAGTTGTCTTCGCATCATCCTTATATACTGTGAGCATAAAATATTGTGTTACTGGCACATAAAACACAACTATAAATCCACAACCATTTTAAGTTAATTTGTATATTGTATTATCAACAGGCAACAATGTATAGTGAATCCATCCATGATACGCGAAAAGTACATTAATTAACAAAACTTGCTCTTTAGATTACACAAAAAACAATTCAGTCAAACCTTTCACTAGCATTAAAAAGCACTGCAGGTAACCGCAGGCCCGACCATTGTTCCTTTCGTCGTCCCGTTTTCGAATTGAATGTTAACATCAGGACAGGACACAGCCAATAATTCCGGAATCCAATGAATCTTGCTAAAAGCCAATAATGCCTCCATCTTCACCTCAAACTTCACCACCCCATGATTGTTTGCTACATCGCCATCAATTGCGTTGATTGTGTGGGCATCGACATTGCCATCCTCTTCTACCAACCTTATCACCTTGCTTATAGTTTCCCCAGCGTTATGAACAAAACTACGGTAGTCGTTTGTTGCGATGAAATCATCATGATATAGAACATGGGAGTCTATTCCGCCATAAGTAATGTCCATGTCTTCGTTAGGATTTTTAAGGGTGACTGTGAGGGTGATATCAGAGGAGATGGTGGAGGACTTGGAGGAAGTGGTGAAGGAGGATACGGTGACAGAGGTGAGGGAGACAGTAGGATATTTGGGTTTGTAGTAGAGATGGACAAAAGCATTGATGATCATAGCGTAAACGATCAACATGATGATTATCAAGACTAGACGACGCTTGCAATATTTGTTTCTTCCTTCGTTCAAGTCTGAGGGGGGTGACGGGTAGTAAGGTGGGGGCGGGGGGCAGTATGATGGATGGAAAGCTTCTAAAATTTGGCTTGCCGTAGGAGGTGTTTGATTATCAAACGATATCGAACCTGGTGGAGTAGGATAATGATTGGCATTAGAGGTCACTGGAGATGATGAGAGCCTGTTTCCAACGTCTAATGCTGAACCAGACAGATCGGGAGATGATGAGCTGTTTTCAACGTCT